CCCAAGCTGCTGGGATGACAGGCGTGCACCACTGCGCCTCGCTACAAGCTCACTTTTTAAAATATCTATATTTCTAGTTGTTGATACAACTTTACTAAATTTTATAAGTACGTAAACTTTTTAATTTATGTCTTTTTATAATAAATACATACACTTTTTTTTATCTATTTAGACGTGGTGCCGAGATTCCAGCTAGGCAAGCGCTCTACCCCTGAGCCACAACCCCAGCCCCAAGGTCACTTTTTTTTAAACACATATTTTCTTTTTTTTTGCATCCAACATGGAAGGGACTTATCTACTGTTAGGGTGTGGACGGGAGAGGTCCCCCAAAGGCTCCTACGCGATTAACTGAGTGGTAACTGAGGTGGGGGGTGTGGCTGGACGGGGTGGGCATTGGGGACAGGGCTCTGGGGTGTATATTTGTATCTGACAAGGGGAGAGCCCTCTCTCTGCTTCCTGGTCACCAGGTGAGCTGCTTCCGGCCACCACACTCGTCCACCATGATGTCCTGCCTCCCCTGGGTCCCCCAGGAATGGAGGCAGCTGTCCATGGACCAGGACCTCTGAAACCGTGAGCCCCTAAATAAACCTTTCCTCCTTTACAGCTGCTCTGCTCGGGACCTTTAGTCACAGCAGCGTAAAAGGTGACCAAGACGTCGACTTGCTCATTCCTGCCCACCAACCCCCCCCACCTCTGTCCCCGCCACTGTGGCCGCCACTGTGACAACCTCTCAACTCCACAATCGACCTCCGCTGTTTCCAGGTGGAGGCCCGCGGACTCTGCGGAGGCTCCCAGATGGAAAGGTTATTTGAAAGGATCGGATTTTCAGCTTCTGATTTGACTGTTGGGGAAACTGAGGTCCAGCCTAGGCCAAGGCCACCCGGGTTCACACCTCCAGGTCCCTGCCCAGTGCCACACCGTCTACCTGGAGGGGCTCTCCTTGGTCAACCCCTCTCCCCTGCAGCCTCCTCTGAGCTCCCACGCACTGCTGGGCACCCTGGACACCTGCCACAGGTCAGTCTATGTCTCAGGAGCCACAGAGGAAGGTCCCTGGAGGTTAAGGCTCAGAAGGAGTCACCTATGTCACCAGGACCAGGCTGGCACCTGGGATGTGCAAAAGAGCATCCTGGTCAACCAGTTCTCCTCTGCCTGGTCACCTCCTGCGGAAGGGCATCTTTGGTCCCTTGTCCTCTCCTCCAGTGGTCCTTGAGCCTCCGCGTCATCAGAAGGATCTGGAAGGTCTGTCACAACGGGGTTTCTGACTCTGTAGGTCTGGGGAGGGGACCTGAGGACTTGCATTTCTCCCAGTCCCACAGGCTGGGAGGCCACCGCTCTGCTCTGCTGTGTCGCCCTCGTCTCCCTCGGGGGTGCTCATCCCGCTGCGGGCTGACCCTCGCGGCTGGCTTGGTCCTGGGTCTCTGGGCCACCTGCTCCCCTCCACGTCCCCCGAGGCCACAACCTGGGGCGGTCGCGTCCATCCCGAGCGCCTGCCCGGCTCCGCACAGGGTGCGTGGCCAAAGACGAACCAAAAGGGGACCCCACGGTCCCCCAGACACCCAACTTGTCCCCAAGACCCCCACTACCGTGGCCCCTTGGAATGCACGCGGGACTCCTGGACCCTCTCGGGTCCCTGACAGGGGACAGGGAAAGGGGGAAAAAAAGGAGCCCTCCCTCTCCGCGCCCGGAGGGGACGTCCAGCAGGGGCGGGGGCGCGGCCCGCGC